CGTACTTGTTGGATTATCTGCTCCTTTACCTTATCCGTCTGCTTTGAAGGTCGGCCAGAGCGAGGGGCGTCTTGTACGTGCTCTGGGAGGATCTTAAGAGGGAGAACGTTTGGCTCGAAACCAGCCTCAATAGCTCTACTATAGATACGATTGACCGTACGAGGATGAACACCAGTAAGTTCAGAGATCTGTGATGTAGACTTGCCAACAGAAGGTGACTTTAACGCCACAATTAAGGTGCGGGTGTAAGGATTAGTATTAGGAGACATTGTAACGATAGATACAGACAAATCGTACAGCTACTCAGCTCAAAGGTGGGAGTTGCGCCAAGAAGAGTTATGCCAAAGCGCTGAGATTAGCGTGGGACAAAACTTTTGTGAGGCACCTCCGTAATCACCTGGCATCCGGGCATACTGAAACATCGGACCCACTGATTTCTTAGTGCATCGTCTGGGGTATCGCTGCTGGTAATTGCCCGGTCGCCAACGATCGTGTCGAGTGTTTTTCCATGGCGGAAAACCAAAGTTTCGAGCGACAAGGTGCATGACCCGTATTGTAGGACATACAGGGCTCAAGGCAACGTGGAATGTGCAATGTGCACAATTGACGTCCAAATTTGTGCAAAACCTGGTGTTATATCTATCGTGCGTATCCCCTCGTCCTTCATCACTACACTTGTCTCTTGCCAATCAGTCTTCCACCATGCATTTCTCCCTCGCCTTTGTCCTTTCACTGAGTGCTACTGCTGCTGCAGCGCCTGCTACACTCGTAGCACGCGCTGGACGCACGTCTGCCCCATCGGGCTGTCTGACCGTGGGCAGCAGCGGTACATACAAAACCGTACAGGCTGCCGTCAATGCACTCAGCACCTCTAGCACCAGCGCGCAGTGTATTTTTATTGCCAAGGGAACCTACAAGGAGCAGGTCTACATTCAGCAGCTCAAGTCAGCCTTGACTATTTACGGCCAGACCGAAAACACCCAAGACTACAGCAAAAACACCGTCACCATTACCCAGGGGAAGAGTCTGAGTAACTCTGGCAGTGACAACGCGTCTGCCACCCTCCGTGCATGGACCCCCAACTTGAAGGTCTACAACATCAACTTTGTCAACACCTATGGCCAGGGTTCGCAGGCCCTCGCACTGAGCGCCAGTGCCACTAATCAGGGCTACTATGCTTGCCAATTCAAGGGCTTCCAAGACACTGTACTGGCAGAGACTGGCAACCAGGTCTACGGCCAGTGTTACATTGAGGGTGCCACCGACTTCATCTTCGGCCAGAACGCAAGGGCGTGGTTCGATGGCTGCACGATTGGCGTGCTTGCCGCCAACCTGGGCTTTATTACAGCCAATGGCCGCAACTCCGATTCCAACCCGTCTTACTACGTTATCAACAAATCTAATGTCAGTGCTGCAGCGGGAAACAATGTTCCAAACGGTGCCTACTACCTCGGTCGCCCGTGGAAAGACTATGCTCGTGTTGTGTTCCAGGAGACTAGCCTCAGCAGTGTCATCAATTCACAGGGCTGGACCACATGGAATGGCAATGCCTCGAGTACAGACCATGCCTTGTTTGGCGAATACCAGAACACTGGTAGTGGCGCTTCAACCACGCGGGCGTCCTATGGCCAGCAACTCAGTGCTCCCCTTACCGTCGATACGATATTGGGAAGCGACTACAAGACCTGGGTTGATACATCCTACTTGTCCTAAGTCAATTCTGTACGCGGGAACGCCTGTGGAGGATAATTTTAGCTAGCACTCCCTCAACAAATTAAGTAGCAGGAGTCTGTACCTTAACCTGGTACTATAATACAGCGCAACATTAAAATTCTATAAATCCTTTTGGATATATAGAATTTCTCTAGTACTAAGAGTAGACTAGCGAATAGGTAGGGGTAGGGTAGGGGTAGGGTTGGCTTATATAATACCCAGCCCTACCCCTACTTCTACTTACACTAACGTGACGGATAAGCGAGTCGGTCAGACAAGCGAGTCAGTCACCCTACTAACTTTAATCACCCACTACACCTTTGCGTACAATGCCTCTAAGCCACGCATCTTAGTTAATCTCTTATAAGGTAGATATTTAGCTTGCTCTCTCTTCTTTAGATAGAAACTAAATCTAAAGTACCTAACGCGCTACTATAGCTTTTAATATTCTAAAATTAACACTAATTAACTAACGCGCTAAGAAGCGCGCGTAACGCAATTGCTAGCCTAACTTAAAGAAGCTTACTAAGCTAGAAGAGGAGGTAATAGTTAGTTATATACTTAATCTTAACTTACGTAGATTTACGCCTATGTACGCCGCTATACGCAATATAGCTAATAAGCTGCTAGCTACGCGCGGCGCTAGCTAGGTTAGGTAGAAGTAGCTAGCTAACTTTGTTAAGCCTATAGATAGTCTTATAACGCGTTTTAATTAAGCGTATAATAGGTAGAGAGCTCTATGTAAAGATCTAGTCCTAATTAAGAGCTAGTTTAAGCTCATAAAGCAGATAAAGGCTAAGTATAGCATCTATAATAAGAACGTCTATAACTTTAACAAAGCTAGCTTTATAATAGGCAAGATTATAACTTAGCTAGTTATAATAGCTTTAGAGAGAAGAGGCTAGCCAAAGGTAGTTAAGCTAGGCAATTATAAGTAGGTGACGCTAATCGCAGTAATTAACGCAGCTAGCTAGGCAGTTCCACTATTCCTTATCTTCGCTAGCAAATATTATCTATCCGCCTAGTACAAGGAAGCAGAGATCCCACGCAACTAGGCAATTGTAGTTAGTAACAATAGCTAGACAAATAATAAGCTAGGTGTTACCTAGCTAAAGCACTTTAATGCTTACACAAAGACTTGCATTATTAGCACACGTTGTCTACTTATTCTTAATAGCTATAAGAGCTATTAGTCTTTTAAGTTTTAAGAGCTTTGCAAGGAGAATAATATCTACACGCTCTATATGCTACTACATTCCTCTTACCTACTTTAACATTTTAACATTAGCTACTTCTTGCTATTAAAGCGCGCGTATAGCTGTAAGGTAGAGAGCCTAATACGCAACTACATTGACTACATTACTAAGCTTAAGTTTCTACTAGCGTTTAAGATAGCGTTTAATTAATTCTTCACGCTAGCTAATATCTGCTTAGCCTTTTAAGGCGCAGGCCTTATTCCTCTTTAGCTAGACGCTATTCTATTAAAGCTAGACATAAAACTACGCACGCCTACTACTCTAGTAGCTACTGTCACAAAGGCTCTCTAGTAGGCTCGTACCCTAAGTAACACACGTAAGTTTAAAGCTTAATTAACGCTAATACGTAATTAGGTTTAGCGGCATAAGAGCTCTTTGCTAGTATTAATTATTATAGCAATTAACTAACTTAAGAAAAGGGCTAAGGTTATAATACTCTTAGCTAAGCTAATACGCGATTAGATTACTAGCCTTAAAAGGGCTAATAAGGTAGCAATAAAGCGTAGGTAGCGTAAAAGGAAGTAGATATAGAAGTAAGGAGTGCTAATAAAAGGAGCTAGAGAGGATCTACTCGCTTAGCGTAAGGCTAATTAGTAGATTGCTCATGAAGAGCGTTAGGGAGGAGAGCGATCAGGTGTCAGCCGCCAGGCTCTAGCGCGCTGTAGTAGGTGCAGAGAGACTAGCTATAACTCACGTACATGCAAAAACGATAGTCTAGATAGTAATTAATTTATTACGTTAATATCTACTAAAACTAATATAATATAGTAAAGCTATACGCTTATAGAAGTGCGTAAAGTTAGTGAGGTGACTAACTCACTTGTCTAACCAACTCGCTTATCTATCACGTTAAGGTTTTTTAGTATAAGTAGAAGTAAAGTTACTAAAACCTAAATAGAAGTAGAGTTAAGTTAGCTAAGACCTAAGTAGAGGTAGAGTTAGGTTAGCTAAGACTTAAGTAGAGGTAGGGTTAAGTATATAACTATTAAGTTATGCTAGGTTAAGGTCTTATTTTATTATAAATATTAACTACGTTCTCTTACGCCTACTACTACTCTATACTAAGCTTTAATATTAATATTATTATTATAGAATTAAGTTCTATTTACTATTATATAAGTGTACTCTACTTAGACTGGCGAATGGGTATAGGGTTCCCGAGATGGGTATAGAGTAGGGTAGGGTCGCACAGACGTTGGGTAGGGATAGGGTTAGGTCGCACGGACCTGGGGTAGAGGTAGGGTTAGGTCGCACAGACTATAGGTGAAGGTAGGGTTAGGTAGACTGTAGCGTGGGTAGGAGTAGGGTTAGGTTGCATAGATGTTAGGTAGAGATAGAGTTAAGTTGTACTATCTATAGGTGTACTTAAATATAGAGTACTTATACTAAGTACAAAGTCCTTACGTAGAGAAATTCTATAATTATAAGTAATTTATCAATTATATTTAGTTATTATAAAGAAGTAGGGCGCGTTATAGGATAGTGTAGGTATTAGAAATAAATGAGATAATATTTATCACGACTTGTTATTGTTATAGGCGAGAGAGGCCTAACTAACAAGTATGCATTCACCTATTGTATAGAAGAAGAAAGATATAGAAAAGAACTATCTAGAGAGCCCTCCTTTTATAGTTATTACTTATACAAACGCTTAGACCTTTAGTCTTCCTCTTTACTTAAGCTTATTTATATGTAACTAACTACGTTATTTAGTTACGTAACTAAAGTTATATAATTTACTACTATATAACCTATAGGTTATTATTATTATTATTATTGTTCCATTAGAGTCTAGTGAGCTCGAGGCTATGTAAGACTTTGGCCGAGGCCGTTCTAACTAGATTTATTTACAATACGAGTTTGTCGCTTGAAGTGTGTCTGTGGTGCTTCGGCTTT